CCCGGGGGGGGGGGGGGGGGGGGGGGGGGAGGGACAGTCTCTTGCTCAAAAGCCAGGATTATTGGGGCTGATATTCCTGATACTGGGAGGCAGGGAGCAATAAGGGACCTGGAACCAAACCCGACTCAGCTGCTCCAGAGGCGCTCCCCCCCCCGAGGGGACAGGAATCCTTACCCAGCCAGCTCACAGCCTCGTAATTCTCCTGCATCACGTCCCAATAGAGGGCTCTCTGGCCCGGGTCCAGCAGAGCCCATTCCTCCTCGGAGAAATACACAGCCACCTCCTCGAAGGTCACCGGCCCTGCCGCGGCCATTTCCTGTCCCTGGCTCTGCAGGCCGTGGGCTGAGCTGGAGACAGACATGGGTGTCCTGCAGCCTGTTGGGGGAGAAGGGCCATTGGAGACACGTCAGAAGGGGCTTTAATCCTTCCCACACCCCCGTTCTCTCCAGAATCTGTCCCTGCTGACACACAGGCTAGACTCGGCTGTTTTGGATGAATGCTGGAGTGGAGATATTTCACACACAGGTTAGATCCCAAATCCATAGTCATCTCTCTCAATACTTGGCTCGAGTTCCACATCACTGCATCTGCCCTGATGGGATTCGGTTCTGGGCACCTGCTGAATCTCCTGGAAGCTAAAATTCACAGGACCGGGGAGCAATCGTTAGATCCCACTCTCTGGTCTCATCTGTGCCACAAATCATTGTATTTAATCCTGTTGCCCCAGGACAAACCTTGATTACCATAACGCATATTTCCTAGAATTTTTTTTAAACGTCAAGAGATGCAGAATCCACCAGTTCTTCAGCCATTTGATTCAGCGGCTAATCACCTTCCCCACCACACATCCCTGCCCCCTCCCTCGTCTGAGTGTGTCTGGCTTCAGCTTCCCATTATTGGTTCACACGGAGCCGGACCCACTGGACTGAGGAGCCGTGGGGGTTCCAGCAGTTTCTCTCCATGAACAGACAGATACTGGGGAAGCCAATCAGCTCTCAGAGGTTTTGTTAAACAAACAACAGTGCATCAATACTGAACAGACTGACCAGTGACATCTCTCCGCTCTAAGGGGCATAGCCTTTTATGGACCTAACCTACATGAAATTATCTAGCTTCTCTTTAAACTCTGTTCTAGTCCTAGCCTTCACAGCCTCCTCTGGCAAGGAGTTCCACAGATTGACTGTGTGCTGTGTGAAGAAGAACTTTCTTTTATTAGTGTTAAACCTGCTACCCATTAATTTCATGTGGTGTCCTCTAGTTCTTATATTATGGGAACAAGTAAATAACTTTTCTTTATTCACCTTCTCCGCACCACTCATGGTTTTATAGGCCTCTATCATATTCCCCCCCCAGTCTCCTCTTTTCTAAACTGAAAAGTCCCTGTCTCTTTAGCCTCTCCTCATATAGACTCATTCCAAACCCCTCATCATTTTAATTGCCTTTTTCTGAACCATTTCTAAGGCCAAAATATCTTTTTTTGAGGGGAGGAGACCACATCTGTACACAGTATTCAAAATGTGGGCATCCCATAGTTTTAAATAGGGACAGTAAGATATTCTTCATCTTATTTCCTATCCCTTTCTTAATAACTCCTCACATCCTATTTGCTTTTTGGAATGATGGGAAATGGGGATAAAAAACTAGGGCTCTCAATTAACGGGCGTTAATGCCTTTTATTAATGCAGGGCAGGATTAACGCATTCGGTTTTTGAATGCGCGTTAATCGCAGATTCGCAGAGGACAGCAGACCGGCAGGAGGTGCTCCGGAGACTGTCTCTGGCAAGGCACAGTAATGCAAACCGCCACCAGAAGGCACAGGGAAAAAACGAAGCAGCGAGAAAGAAAAAAACCTAAGGACTTGGTCCCAGCTCCAGTGGAGAAGTAAACAAAACAACCCTGACACCCGTCCCTCTGCCCACCCAGGTGTGGTCGGTTTTGTCCCTCCACAGGCTTGATCGATCCGCACCCCAGCTCCCGGCCGTTTTCCCACCGCACCTGGGAGCGGGGCAGCACCAGGAGCAGAGAGAGCAGGGGAAGCAGCTCGCTGGCCGAGTCGCCCAATTGCAGGGAGCTACTCAGGCCCTGTACCAGAGCAGACTGAGCTTTTACCCACGGCTTGCCCCGCATCTGCAGGCTGCAGCTGGCTGGAAGCACAGAGGTACTGGGGAAGGGCTCGGAACCCCTGCCTGCCTGCCCACACTCTGCGGGGGGCAGCTGTGCTTCACGCTGGGTTTCTAGGGTCCCACAGAGGTGGCAGCATCATAAGAGAGAGAAAAACCAAGCCCCAAATCTGTGGGACCCCTCCCAGGCCCTGCAGGCCACGATGAGCTCCAGTTCCCTCCCCAAGCCCCCTGGTGCACCCAATCTTCATCGCAGACCCTGCCCCCAATCCCCTGCCCCGAGCTCCCTCCTGCAGCAAGGTGTGTGGGGGGGCCAGCTGGTGGGATCTGGCTTCACACGGGCTCCCCGCGAGCACCATCTTGCCCCTCCATTCCTGTGCTGGGGGGGCCACCTCAGGGAGTCACAGGGGTCTACCAGTGAGCGTGCAGTCGCACGGCTATAGTGCCTTGCACGAGAGCCACGGGGGGCAGTCGTGTCACCAGTGAGCGTGCAGTTGCACGGCAATAGTGCCTTGCACGAGAGCTGTGGGGGGGCAGTCGTGTCACCAGTGAGCGTGCAGTCGCACGGCTATAGTGCCTTGCACGAGAGCCACGGGGGGCAGTCGTGTCACCAGTGAGCGTGCAGTTGCACGGCAATAGTGCCTTGCACGAGAGCCACGGGGGGCAGTCGTGTCACCAGTGAGCGTGCAGTCGCACGGCTATAGTGCCTTGCACGAGAGCCACGGGGGGCAGTCGTGTCACCAGTGAGCGTGCAGTTGCACGGCAATAGTGCCTTGCACGAGAGCTGTGGGGGGGCAGTCGTGTCACCAGTGAGCGTGCAGTCGCACGGCTATAGTGCCTTGCACGAGAGCCGCGGGGGGCAGTCGTGTCACCAGTGAGCGTGCAGTCGCACGGCTATAGTGCCTTGCACGAGAGCCACGGGGGGCAGTCGTGTCACCAGTGAGCGTGCAGTTGCACGGCAATAGTGCCTTGCACGAGAGCTGTGGGGGGGCAGTCGTGTCACCAGTGAGCGTGCAGTCGCACGGCTATAGTGCCTTGC